AGCCACGAAGGCCTAATTTCCCTTACTCTCAAATCAGCCTCAAACCTATCAGACCATCAATTCAAATCCCTCAAACTCATTAAACTCACCAGAAAGGCAACAACAATTCAATACTCAAAATCCCTAAATCCTTAAACCGGCTTTAAATACATTGAATCATATATTGAAAACAATGAAGGTAATACTCCCCATACTTATACAACCTCAAAAACAGATTTGGCCACAGATGCCTAATTTTCCTCAAACTCAAAAACCTCCTACATCCTTAAATCAGCTTTAAATACATTGAATCGCATATTGAAAACAATGAAGGTAATACTCCACATACCTTAATTTGCCGACTCTAAACCTTTTTCCTTTGAGTTCTTGGAAAACCTCATGAAGCCTTGCCTCAATCCTCTTCCTCAGAGCTCTGACCTCTATTTCTTCCCTTTTCACAGTCTAACAAGAATGAATCCTAATTCCCTCAAAATTCCTTTTTGTTAAACCTAACTTTTGGGCCTTTAAAATGGGCTTTCCAATTTCACCCTCACTAACTCCTCCTCAAATGTCCATTTTGCCCTTAAATTAACTTATATTTATTTAAATTCATAATAATACCAAATATATTCATATTATATACTATTATTTAAATAAATAACTCAAAACTTCATAATTCTCAATATTCACACCAACCACCGAAAATCACCAAAAATACGAATATTCATATTTAAATAAATTAAATAAATATTCCAATAAATTTGGGGTGTTACAATGATAACTCCACATGTTATCTAAGAGAACAATTATGTATGATATGGTTTATGTCTAGTATGTGACTGTTGTCAGTATGATTCTGACTCTGATAAGAAGACATGTGACATAATCAGACCTTGTTATCAACACTCTGGAAGAAAAACATATATATGTACAAGATAAAGTCAAGATTCATGAATGTTTCTAATACAACGGTTCTAATGAACGTTAGTTTCGGACATTCTAATTGAGAATTTACGAGAAAGGCCTATAAGGTTTTCTAATGTGAAGCGATTCTAATGTTACAAGTTCTGATGATTCTGAAGACGTGATTCAGGTGAGCATAGTTCTGAAGATTTTGAAGACACAATATCTGAAGGTCAAGTTCTGAAGAGTTTATAAAGACAAGGTTCATGTGAACAAAGTACTAAAGACAAGAATGGGATTAATTATTTCTGAATACAAGGTTCTGAAGGAATAGGTTTTGAAGACACTGAAGATATTACTTCCTAAAGAACGAGTGCTGAAGATTCTCAAGATAGTTCTGCTGAACAAAGATCTTAGAATTCTGAAGACTTGGTTTCTGAAGTTGAAAAGAATTGACTCTTCTATAACATGCTTCATCAATGTTTTATTTAAATCCTCTGAAGACATTAGAAAGGCTGAAGATAAGAATGGTTTTGAGCTGAATACAAGAATACAAAAACTATGACCTCTACCTCGATAAGGTGGTGCAATAGCAACTTTTTGTACAGTGATGTTGACCATTCCTTCATGTGAACTTTGGGATATTGCTGTTGGAATATTTCTCCAAGAATGCCCCTCAACGGATCTATTCTCTCAAGCTCTATAAATTGAAGATCAAGAAGCTTGAAGAATTGTTGGTTACTGGTGATAGCACGCTGCTATGCAAAGCCATAGTACTGAAGAAACTGCTACTAGCTTAAGCATAACTGAAGAATGTCAATGAAGAAGAAGCTGAAGCAAATTGTTTGAATGTGTGTACAAATGATGAATATGCTAAAGCTATGTGAAACTAGTCAAGTGAAACATCAATAAGTGAAGTATAGTAACTTAGTTGATCTTGATGGTTGAGCTGGAAGAAGCGTTACTTGCTCAAGAAAGGAGTACATCAGAAAGAAGCTTAAATCTCATGAAAAGAAGTTGTAGTGCTCAATAAGAAAGCTTTTAAGAAATACAGAACTAATGTGCTTTATAATCTCTTAGAGATTTATCATTAAATAGTTTTGTATTCGAAAGCAAGGAGATGTTGCTCAAGAACTTGCTAGAAACACTTAGGTGTTCTTGTACTTCATTTGTGTAATCAGCTTGTAACAAGTATTAAGTGTAGACATGTAAAATCCTTTTTCTAAAGGTGGAATGAATTCTTGTTGAAGTTAGCTTGAGAAATCATTTGTCAAAAGGTGATTGTATTCCTTGGGGGACTCATCGTAGTCAGAATTCTCAAGAAGACAATGGAGAGTATCCATTGTGGGTTGATGATTTCTTTGAGTGGCTAAGTGAAAACCATGATGCTTGAGAGGGCTAAGTGTGTTATTTAACAGCTTAGAGGTTGTAATCATTTTGATGATTATTGGATTAAGTCCTTGTCTAAGGTGAAACCACCAAGGTTGGTGGACTGGAGTAGCTTTGTTAACAGTGAAGCAAGATACAAATAATTGTGTTCATTTATTTTTATTTACTTGTTAATGTCATTAGTTTAATTCTGTAAAAGGGGACGAAATGTGAAACCCAATTCAAACCCTATTTCTTGTGTTTCTCGACCTTCAGGAAGCATATGGAGAAATGAGAGGCCGCCCTAGGATAGAGCTCACAGGAACCCACCCTCCTCGGGCCACACCTTTTTTTTTTTGCAAAAAGAAAAGAATATTTCAACTGTGAGTATGAGGTCAAGACCCCAACAGAAGACCTAAAATCCTCAAACAAACACCCTATTATTCGAATGCAAATGAGAGGGGTGATGTTGAGTATCCAAAGAATATCATATTGAATGAGGATGAAGAAAATACCAACCCTAAAGTTTTCACAAACCTAGTGTAAAACTAGTAGTACTCACTCTCTACTCTATGAGGTCTCTGCATGCAAACCCTATTACCTCAAACACAAGGATCCAATATCACATCAACCTCGTTATCAATGCTAAAGAAATACAAACCCACTCAAAAGCCATCCACCCAATCATCTTCGAGACAAAGCGAATGTAACCTTAAAACTTACTCACATAAGGAACTTGAGGGAGAACTGGAGAGCTCCATGATAAATTTGGCATAACCTAAGGAATAAGACAACAAATCAGCATCACTATCGCTAGACGAGCGATTGGAAAAAATCAAACATCTCCCTTTTCACAGCTTTTCATTCCACTTTCATTGTTCCACGCTTCGAAGCTAGAAATCATTGATTTCATAGCTCATATTTCTCTATAAATGGTTGGGATTATATAACACAATTTAGGGTTCTATGGCTTTCCTGAACACTTAAGGCTCTTGAATAAACACCATAAATAAGAAAATGATATATGAAAAGTAAAAAGGCCAAGGTATTACTTGTGATGTTTATCAACTAGAGAGCGAGATAAGAGATAGAAGATTGAGCAAAAAGCACAAAAGAAAAGGTTTTAGTATATTCAAAGATGCAAGTGACAGACAAAAAAGTTATTATACTTAATCCTAGAAGTCTAGGGATACTGAGGTTAATGATAAATCTGGTTTCTATGTGAGTCTCGAGACACTTAACAATGATTAAGGCTTACTAAAGGTAAACCTCTAGTGGAAATAGAGAGGTCAAGAGGCAAAAAAATAACCAGCAAAAGAAGGTCGTGACTTCATGTGACAATAATAAGACTAAACATCTCGTCCTTGTATAAGACTAAACATCTTGCCCTTGCAGAGGACTAAACATCTCACATTTTATAAGACTAAACATCTCGCCCTTGCAAAGGATTAAACATATCGCTTTTACATCTCTCCCTTGCAGAGGGGTAACCATCTATCCTTTGTATAAGACAAATCATGACACCCTTGTAGAGGATTAGACATCTCGCATGTGCATAAGACTCGAGCATTTCTTTACTAGACCTCAATTAAAGTGTGTACATTATGGTCTCTCACCTAAGGCATTTTGCCCCTTACATATCTCATGCTTGAGGGGCGCTGTACAATTTGATCTCTCACTTAAATTTTTCGCCCATATAGACCTCATGTTTGAGGGACTATATACATATCCAATAAATTTGAGCAACATTAAAATCCAAACTCAAGCGAGTCCACCCTTTAAGCCATCCAGGGGACAAGACCGAGCTAGTTCGACTTTATGGACTAAGCCAACCAGGTCAGCCCATAATCATCATATCTACTCCTAACCAGTACACTTTAACACACAGATAAAACATTCAAGGTGTAGTAATAGTCATTAGGGACGGATCTAAAACTCGATATCTATTAATTGACCTCATGCAAACAAGAAATCATTGGTCTTAATGGTAAATCAATTCGTTAGTCAAACTCAATTAATAGTCATATATAGACATTCAATTATAAAAGTTTGAATTTAAATTCAATCTCATTCATTCACCTTTAAAGAATAAAATAAACAAAATTATTCATCAATAAAGTAATTAGAAATTACAATTGTGTGAAATGGTATACACTATTCCCTTAGTTCGGACCCATTTGAATTTTAGAGTAAAATAGTGTCATATATATATATATATATATATATATATATATATATATATATATATATATATATATATATATATATATATATATATATATATATATATATATATATATATATATATATATATATATATATATATATATATATATATATATATAATCAAAATGAAATAGTTTGATCACTCGTTATAGGAGTGAGGAAGAAATTTATATCCAACAAAAATGTTTTTTTAATTTGATAATTTATACATTCAATTTTTAAATAAAATAATAATTTTAATTCAAAATTAGGTACAATGAAATGACTCCTCCATCATAAATAATACGGATTATCAGACAGAGTAACTAAAAATCAAGGCTGGAATGATAAATTTTCACGATAGTACAATACAACCAAGAACAGAAAAATTGCAATTCCTAAAATGGTAACAGTACTATCAAATCTTAAAATTCAATCCCAATCATTAAGAGATTATTGCATTCAATTAATAACAATCCAATTGAGGAGAAAATAAGCTATCATAGTATATGAATGAATGCTAAAATAGTACTAGTAACTCAGCTCTACAGAAGTTCTCTCCTTGCTGTGTATCCATATTCAGATCTCTGTATGTTTTGCCGGCGCTTCTTGTACACCATCGCTCCCAATCCAACCACACATACACTTGCAATCACTCCAACCGCTATCCCTGCTTTCTTACCGGAACTCATTCCTCCTCCGCTTGATTTTTCGTCCGCATCTCCGACGCCGCTGTGGCTTACTTCGGAATCTGCCGCATGATCTGGAGATGGAGATGGAGAAGGTGAAGAAGAAGGGGAGTTTTCAGGTGAAGGTGCTGGAGGCGAATCGGGAATAGGAGATATCGCCGGAGTTGGAGTTGGAGCTGGCGGTGAACTTTTCGGAGAAGAGTTCGGAGAAGTATTCGGAGAAGGAGAAGGAGATTTTACCGATGAATCTGGAGTCGGAGCCGGTGAATCGGCGGATGAAGCGATGTTGACTAATAAAGAGAAGAAGAGAAGAACAGAGAATCCTGCAATTGCGCGATTCATCTTCGTCTCCATTGCGATAGAGTGAATTTGAATTTTGAATTTTGAACTGTAGAAAGTTGGATCTGAAATGGAGTTGAAATGGCGGTTATGGAAAATGCGTGAGAAACGGTTTGAACGGAAAGGAAAAGGCTGTGGATCTGGGAAAGGAGAGATAAGACAGAATGGAATGATGTGAGGGTTTATAAGAGGAGGACACTTGAATGCGCGGATGAAGTGGAGGGTGAGGATTGGACTGAAATCTTATTGTGGGGCTACAGATGTATGACACGTGGATTGTGTGTAAATTTGGGAAGGTAAACGTAATGTAGCGGAAAGTTGGAAGTTTCGTGAATCGTGAGAAAGCGAACGTGAAATGGGAAATGGGACGCACTTGTTTGTGTAGCTTGACACAGCTATATATCATTAGTTACTTTGTCGGATTAATGCGATCATTACTAGTCCAATTTTCCAAATGTGTCATAAGTAATTTTATAATATCAATAAATAAATAATATTTTTTTTATATTTTTAAATATTTATTATTCTTTTTTTTAATTATATAAAATTTTCTTTATAATATTATTATTAAAATATAATTTTATAAACTTTCATAATTTTTCTTTTTTTTAATACAGTATTATAATTATTACATTTTATACGTATGTAAAATAAAAAATTACTTATAAATAATTATTACAGATATTGTTTAATAAAACAATAACTAGAAATTTAGTATTTGATGCAACAACATAAATATGCAATTATGTATCACTAAAAGCAAATTAATCAATTTAATTTAAATTTATGGGTAGATTAACCTATGTTATTGGAAGAATGAAAATGATAATGAATAAGTTCGAGTATACTCTCTGTTAGACGATGATATTGATTAAAAAGAGGGTTGAATATATTATTTATTTTTAATAATTTACGCTTCAAAAAATTATTCTAAAATATGCAAAAGCAGTCTCGAATCAAAACTCGTTTATCCGAACCTTTATTGAAAAGATTGGATATGTGAAACCTAATGGAATGATTTTGATGAGAGAGTAGAATCAATAAGGTTCATGATCTGGAGTTATCAGAATGGATCGTCGTGACCTTTAATGTAGGGCAACAACAATGGTTGTAGGAGAGAAGGGGGTGTACCTGTAAGGTATTCCGATGTCAAAGTAAGTTTGGGTTAGAGAGAGAAAATACAAATGTTTAGGTATGAGTTAGAAGGATTTGAATACCTTACCCTCTCAAGAGATAGGGTATTTATGAGATTCCTCCAGCGCGGGGCCAAGGTCTCCCATGTGGCCGAAATATCTGGTCGACCAATGGGAGATTGCCAGGTGAAAGATCTAGCGCGTGATCTTTGACCTGCTCCAACTGTCCCCGTGAATTTCGAAGGGGCAGTTGGTCGCGTGAATTGTCAAGTGCGTGAGGGGGATGTCCTCAACGTCTATATTTGGCCCAACAGTCATATTGTGTCAAACGACTATATTGTGCCCAACTGCCAGATTGTCTTAATCTTCTTATTGGGCCTTGCCTAAAGCTAGACTGGGTTGGGTCTTACCCAACTGTGGACCATGTGTCAGTCCGGTCCAGAACATGAGTCCCTCAAGTCGTTGCTCTAAGGTGAGGAGTAATGACTTGAGTTAGCCTAGCTGGTCGACCAATGGGCAGGAAATGCGTCGCGGGGAGGCTTTTTGAAGTCGTCATTATTGAACGAAAATCTTTGGGGACGTGCCCGTCAATAGTATATGGTTAGTATGGTCGACTGTTGATTTCTCGTGATCTTCCTTAGGATGCGAGGACGTGGTCGTAGATGGAATTTTTTACGTCGGCCATACTTACGCTTAAGGTAAAGAAATATCCTGTCAACGAGGCTTCTGCTCAGATAATATCATGTGCCCTGTCAAGGAGGATGTGCCCGCGGGAAGCTAGAGGGACATGTCCAGAGGAATGTGAAGGGTCAGTCTTGAAAATGTCAACCGAAAGATTCCTCTTTTGACACGTGTGATGGTGTAATCAATTTTGTTAAGGTCTAGGAGGTCTAGGCTGGCCAAGCAATGATGGCTCTTGCCCTTTGCGCTTCTCTATGCGAGTAAATACTTATAAAAAGGGGGGGGGGGCGAGGACTCATTTTCACACTTTACGCAAAATTCTCTCCTCAACCCCTTTTGCTCTGCAACAATTATGGTCTCGCATTCTTGGTCGAAGTTCTCTTCGCCGCCGTCAATCCTCCTTTTCTTTCTCCAAATCTTCATCTTCGACCTTCTGATTCAAGTAAGTTCTTCATCTTTGCTTGCTAGATCATAAAGTAGCTCTCGAATTTCTAGAAATTAGCTTGAATTTCCCGGCGAAGCATGAGTTTTCCGGTTGAAGTTCATGTGTTCTTCGATGAACGCATGAATTTTCTAGGAAATTCATGAAGGCCCTGAAGAACATGAATCTAGGATGTTGTGTGTGACTGTACATCTTCCTAGGTTTTTTGTTTGAAATATCTTATGTTTGTGGTCGGGCAGTAGGCCTCCTTGACGCTTGAGGATTTTATTCTCGCGTGCCCGATAAATTATAGTTGTCGAGGGGCATGTCCCCCTCGGCGCCTTTTAGAGTCACAACTACTTGTCCCCGCTTGTTGGGGAGGATATTATGTCAAGTCCTTGTGTTGTCAACAAGGGCTTGAGTAGAGGATACGTCCTCGTACTTATTCCTCGCCCTTTCACTTGATTTGCAGTGGAAGGGTGGATTTGATCTCTGTTGTCGAATTCACTTTTTCTTCCTGTGCTTTTCAGGTGAAATAGTTGGTCGAAACAAAGAGATTGTCCCCGGCGTAGGGATAGCTACTAACAAAGTTGTGCCTCCGTTCGATTAGTCCAATGTCATGGTTGCTCAAGGGGATCTTAGTTGGATTGCCTAAGAGCCCTTGGTGATAAAGTCAACTTTTGTAACACCCCATTCTAACCCAACAGATAAACAAGAACATAACAATCAGAGTGCACAAAAAAATGGCTAAGTGACGATCATGATGGAATCGTCACGACCGTGATGGTCATGGCGATCGTGATGATCATGACGACCGTGATGGTCATGACGACCGTGATGGTCATGACGACCGTGATGGAGTGGTGACGGTCGTCACACTCACAAAAACTGGGCGTCACATTTTCAACTTAGACAGACCACACACACCTGCAACACAATCATTTAGTAACATACATAGAACAGAATCGGATGAACAGACAATGATAACTTGCTTAGCATCTCAATTACAAGACAATCTGTTATTTTGCAACGGAATTTAATACACTTCCAACATTTATAATAAACCAAAGCAAGACCAGAAAAGTCTGCAATTAAATTTCATTAAAATTCAGCAAGTAATTACCTTGCATCAACTCACAAAACAACTAGTTCTCGACCACGAAATCAGTCCTACCGATTCATCGGTCTAGTGCGTACAACCAACATTTGGCACTATCCGAAGCAATCAATTTAAAGAAAGTACTTAATAAAATTCAGCAACAAAGAAAACAATTAAAAGCAATAATATTAATCGTCCATCCCCCTAAGAGTGCTACGTATCAGAGCGACTAACGACCTTAAACGAAAAGCGACACCCTATTCCGGGTTACCTGCAAATTACCACCAACGGAGGTAACATACAACGTAAAGGGTGAGATATCAAAATTATACATAAGGCATGATAAAATTCATGTCAGGATCATATCACAACATTATAATTCTCGCAGTTCTCCAAATATTATCGCAACGAACTACTAGGAAATTCATCATTCATATTCGCAACAATTAGCAAGAAAATTCAACAACTCATCATTACTTGCAAACACATAATGACGCGACACTATGCGACTCAACTATGCATATGCATGTGGTACCAATTTGGAGCAGCACTCCACAACCAATTTATTTTCCATTATAGGCTGCCAATACAGGCACAACCAATGCCAATACAGGCACAACCAAGGATGATATGCTATGGGATGCATCTATTATGGACTACAACACAACCACAACAACTACGCAACAAGGCATTAAGCCTACAACCCAATTGTCCATAACCGAAACATCGCAATTTCATACGCATCATATGAGCACATTTTTCATATCAAATCAAGTAAGAGCATAATAACAACATTCTCTCAACAAGTAAAGATTAGCGTGTGTCGGCACCGTTTCCAAATATAATTACACAGAGTTAATGACATAAAACACTAATTCAGGCGCCGGCGAGCATTATCCCTAATATTATCAACTCGCAGAAATTAACCCCATGATTCAATTCCCGTCATGAAATTGATCATACCCATAGTTATAGAATTGAGCCCCACCCTTACCTTTGGATTGAGGACAACTCTAAACTCCCGGTTCCGGTTTGCTCTCCGGTAACTCTTCTGCAACTACCTCGAATTCTCTCCGACGGTTAATTCCTCTGTTCTCAATTTCCCCCAGCCACGTTCCTTTTTCCTTTTCACCCCTTCTCCTCAACCTTTTTCCTTAATTTTGGTTCTGAGCAGTTTATCGTGTTTTTCCTCTTTTACCCCACAACTTCTCTAATAACTCCCCTATTTCACTTATTCCATCCACTAATATTACAAATAATAATAATAATAATAATAATAATAATAATAATAATAATAATTATTATTATTATTATTATTATTATTAAATTATCATCATTATTAATTATATTATATTATTATTAAACTCTATATTTTATTAAATGATTTCCTATACTTTAAGGACACCCACTAACGCTCTCAGACACACTCCCACATAAAGGCACACCAACAATTCATAAATAATTTAATTTAAAATGAACGGGCATTACAACTCCCCCAAACTTAAAAGAATTTCATCCTAGAAATTATCTCGATCAAACAGCTCGGGGTAAGACTCTCGCATCTTGCTTTCCAGTTTCCACGTCAAGCTTTCGCCAGCAGCTCCCAACTAGACCACTTTCACCAAAGTAATCTCTTTTCCTCTTAACGTCTTCACCTCCCGATCATCAATTCTTACAGGCA